TAAATCAGAATGATTCTCTTACTCACATGTTGCATTTGTTAAATAACCCATTTAATAACAACAAAATAACAAATCTCCTGAAATGCTGTTCAAATTTTTATTGTACCACCCCTTGATTTTCAGTGGCCCACCTCCACCCCCACATAAATTCTTATCTGGTGGTGCCACTGGCTCTAACAATGTCTCAGTTAAAAAAGGCTAAAGTGGTTTTCCTGGCATGACTTCTAGCCAGATATACCAGCCAATATGGGGGAAAGTAGAAGCTGCACACACTCAGGGGGCTGCTGGAGGCAGAGATTGATTAGCTGTGACACAGAAAAACTCATGAAAGTTTAGATAGTATTTGAAATAAAAATTGGCAACGAGTATTTCTCAAAACTGACATTGTTTTTATAAAACACAGACCTTCTTTATACACAAAAATAACAGCTTAATTCTCAACTGGATGTTTGTTTGGATCAAGTTTTGATGACTAAAGTTGTTTTCTTGCAAACTCTTGTATTTATACTGTTTTCATTTTTTTGTGGTTAAAACTCCTCTGGGGTTTCTTTAACCAAAACTAAGAAGACCAAACTTTGTGGGGTCTGATCTCATCACGTATTCTGTCAGTCACCCAGCTCTGGTTCTTATTATTCTCTCTGCAACACATTCCATGTCTTCTTGCACTTAGTCCTTTTATATTCAAGAGTTTTTTTTTTGTTTGTTTTTTGCTGTGTTCCACAGAAACTACTTGTTGGGACTGAGAGATACATTTTTTAATAGCAGCTAATAACAGTTGTAATTATTTTTAAGTGAGCATTTTTTTTGCATCACAGCTCTACTTTTTGCTGTCAGACAAGTCTCCAGCATATAATTTGCAGATGATCACACAAAATGAAAAATTACTCTAGTCAATGGAAAGGAAGTCATAAAAACGGATCATTTGCACTAATAGGTTCAACATGTTGAAGGGAGTTCATGCACACAGCAGCAGTCAAAGACAATATAATTGTGCACACAGTTTCTTATACCTCTCAAGTTCACTGAGACCAAAACAGGTCAGTGTTAAACTAGCTCTATTTACTGCAGACTTGTTGAACCTTGGACCAATAACTAACCATTTATTCAGCATTATTTGATCAAATAATTCAGAAACAACTGGATGTACCAACGAAAAGACCTACCCCAGCCAATGCCGTAGTAGTAGAAGTGCTTACTGCCCTCAGAACCGAACACCTTCACCACCATACTGTAGAGATGGAGGCCCTCCACCAACATCCAGGCGAAAGCGCTCAGAAAGAAGAAGTGAAGCAGGATGGCCATGACCTTACAGGACAGCTGGGACCACAAGAAAACACAACAACTGGCTTTTTACTAGCAAATTATTTTCCTCTAAGGGGAATTCCAGGTCTCATAATTGCCAGTGTGTTATTTGGACGTGTACTGACCGTGCCCGGGTCAAAACGAGCGCTGATGAGCAAAAGGATCTCAGCCACCAGGATGGCGAAGGACAGGTTGGCGTGGATGTGATAGCGTTGGTTACGGATGGTACTAACTGACCTACAGTGCAGCACAATGATACCAACTTTAATTAGAAAAATTATTCTCTGCTACCTTTCATTTAATTTATTTGTATTTTTGTTGTTTGTTGAATTTATGTTTTTGTTTTTAAAGAAATGAATAAATAAACTAAACTAAACTAAACTTACTGTGACTCAGTTACAACTGTTTTTTTCTCAAAAATTGTAAATCTTAAACGATGAAATATTGTCTCACCTGATATGTTGGCAGTTGAAAAAATGTGTTGAGGAAGAATATCAGCTACTCAAAGGATTGACTTTTTGTCTACTTTATTATTTTTGGGAGGGGGGTGTTCTGCCTATTTATTTATTTATTTATTTATTTATTTATTTATTTATTTATTTACTTACTTACTTACTTACTTACTTACTTACTTACTTACTTAC